GTGTCCTTTATCTTTGATAGAAAAAGAGGGTGACGTTAAGCATGTGTCAAATTGAAAGGACGGGAAAGATTGTTACGCTTGCATCTGTTCTTTGAAGAAATCATTAAAATCCTGGGCAGAAAAACAGTGGAGATGGACAGATAAGAGACAAACGCAGTTACAAGACAGGCATGATGGTGATGCAAGATTCAGTGAAATTAGAGAAAAAATTGTTTTGCAGGGAAGCTGGCCAAGCAGAAGGAGTGTTTATACTGGAAGAGATCAGCCTCTTTTTTTTTTTTAATTGTTCAGTTTGTGTTATGGTAGCAGAAGGGCACGGTGTGAAAGAGAGCACGAGCCAGATCTGAGACTGAATCATCTCTGACTTTTCTGGTCTTGCATTGCAGTGACTCAGTCGTACCAGCAAAAGTTAAGGAAGGAAAGGAAAGGGAGCTAAACTACTTCATCTACTCCTATCATCATCATACATTTGACCTGTCACCACGACAAAGGTATCATTGAATAAAAGAGGAAGGTGCAAACCAACCTGAAGAATGTCTGTCGTTTCTTTAAAAACAGCCTCTCCCTAAGCAAGAAAAACCAACCCAACAGCAAAACACCCCAGCCTATAAGCTGAAATTCCAGGCTCCCTGTGGTTGAGAGGCTGCCGTAGCTGTGCTGGACACAAAGGAAGGGGGAATTGAGGGTTGGAGCCTTTCCAGCTGCTCCAGCAGTCCTGGCTCCCACAGACTGTCTGAATACAAAAACCATTTCTGAAGTTTTAAGGTTCTAGTAGTTAGTCAGAAGACTATGTTTTCTGAATTCCAGTATCTCAGAGCCTGGCATAGCACACACTTGGTGTAGAAATTGTTTATAAATATTAAAACAGTCTCTGACTGTTTCACCAAGATGTGATTGAAGTGTGGAAGGAACCAGTGACCAACTGGCTTGCCATGTGTGATGGCAGGAATTGAGAGGATCATTTTTGTCGTCACTCAAGCCCTTGCACCAGACACTTTCTGGAACCATAGAAAGTTGTGGCTACCAGCTGTGATGGTCAGCACGTGTTTCCCAGGTTGCTGTTGAGGTAACACCAACCATCCAATGGGAAAAATACAGGAATTATTTTCTATGGTAATTTTTTTTTGCTTTCCATGGGTAGGTGAGTTTGGGCAAGCTTGGCTCTTTTAGTTAAAAGCTCTCTTGTAATGAAGATGGAAAGGTGTAAAAGAAGTGCAAAAGAAAATTGTGTGTATTCTTGTATATATTCTTGGCTGGCTGTGAAGTGTTCAGAGCAAAAGTTTTTTCATGTATGTCTAAAATAGCTGTCAGTTGATTCAGAAAATGTGGGTAGTACCAAACTAAGCCATCTCCTTACAGTAAATAATTCTTTCCCTGCCAGAAGTTGAGTAGAAGGATTTGCAAGCTGAACAGAGGTGGTTCTGAAATTCTGTGAGGAAAAGGCCTCTCTACTTTTGATTCCCCAGATGAGCTCTTTGAACTGAAAGTAAAAGCAAGTTCCTAGCTTAACGAATTTCCTTGTGTGTTTGGCTCCTTAATGGGGTGTTTCTTACAGAGGCCACTAGGTCACCTTGTCCCAAGAGGATTATTTTCCCTGACAGCATAGCAAGTGGCCTGTCAGAGGCAACAGCACAGAGGAGTATCCTTATTTGCCATTTGGGATGTTTAACTTTTTGACTGCCTTGCAGCTGGCCTGAACTCAGAGCTCAGAAGAACTAGGCTGGGGAGGGACATGTGAGAGTAAAGCAGCCCTTGAAAAGCTGAACAACATGTAAGATTTGTGAGACACCAATTCCTCGTAAAACTTGTGGCCCTGGTTTTCATCCCTCTTCAGAGCATTCACTTTGCTGCTTCTCCATGAGTGTGTTAAGTGAGCTCTCCTTTACTGCCAAGCAACTGCTACTGCTGGCTTCTCAATATACTTCCTAGAGTCCAGATCCTGTAGTAATATATATAAATTGTAACTCTGCTTGATCCAGGCTTGATCTACAGTCTGTAATGATTTGAGTTTGGGCTGGTTGTATTTGCCTTTAGAATATATTCAAGGTCCTACTTGCAATGTTAGTGTTGACATAAGACTTGAGGTCTAACATCTGCATGTAAATTTACATTTTATAAATATTTGCTATTGCAGTGAGTCAAACAAAAATCTCAACAGAGAGAACAACCAACACTCCCAGGATAAAAACCTAGGATTGGTACCAGCATTTCTTTCTTTCTTCCCTTTTTTTTAAAATTTTTTTCCTTCCCCCCCAGAGCCTCCTGATAGCCCACATTACCATTTAGTTGTCATTTGTTGCTCCCTGGCTCTGTTGGTTTCTCAGCTTAGAAACAGCTGCCATGTGATGTGAATGATATTTTAAAGTCCTGTGTTTGAGTTCTTGTGATAGCAATGTGCAGGGAATTGGCAAGCTCTCGGAAACAAAATGGCATGCTTTATTTTGTCACTAGAAGTATGTTCAATCTGCTATTTGATTCTCTGTAGCATTTTGATTAAGAGCTCCAGTGAAGTTATGTGAAAAGTGAAAATCCTCTTTATTCTTTCTCTCCAAGAAAATGAGATGCACAGCATTGTCAAAATATTTGCCTTATCTTGCAGATTTGGATACTTGTTGTAGTTCTTCTGACAGACCAAAACAATGGTCATTAAATGAGGAGCAGATGCAATAAGTATGCAAGCAAGCTTAAGGGGAGAGACTGAGGAGAAGCTGCCAACAGAACTAACTAAGCACTGGAGAATAAAGAAAAACAAAACCTTTTCTTGCTATTGTACCCCATAAATAATCATTTTCCTCTAGTAATCTAGGCATTGTACTTTTCTGCATTGGTGTTTTCATATGTTCTGGTGTAATATTGACTTCAAATCCAGATGCTCCTTTTGGCTTACTTGAATATCTTTCTTGCCAGGAAGCAAAAATGCCAAAGAAATGCTTTAGCTTGTTTTTTTGTGCATTTTTGTTTGTTTATTTATTTGTTTGTGTTGAGGTTTCTTCATTGGGTTTTTTTTGGGTATGTTAATTTTTGTTGGTTGGTAGTTGTTGGGGTTTTTTATAGGTTTTGTTACTTCCCTTTTCTGTTTTTTTCCTTTTCACTGCAGCACTGTTATTTTAGGACTAAAGGACATTGTTGAGGAAGAGCGAGGTTATGTTATTTTCACAGTTTTGTGTGACTGGGGAGAGAGAAACTCCCTGTATGGTTGGGAAGACAGAAAATAGTGATAAATTCTCTATCAAGATGTAGAGCATGTTTCCTGAGCAGGTAGTTTTTAAGGTCTGCTTTGTGGTTGCAGAGCTGTGATGTAGACTCAGGACATTGGTCCAAAATCTGCCTTAAATTATAGACAGAATGAAAGTTTTTCAGCTTTACTATTGCTCCAGCTATTGTTTTCAAACCACAAGAATTAAAGATTTGCCTTTAAGAAAAGGAACTGAATTATTATCCAGGATCTCCGTTTCATGATCTGTGTCTAGTCAAGTGATTGCTGTTATTGTTCGTGTATTCTAGTATGTCCTTAAAGCTATCCATAACTTACAGGTTTTAACTGGCATGTGATAGTTCTTCATCCTTGAGTTGAAAATAAAACTGAAAGTTGGCAATATGGTCGTGTAACACTATGCAATTGAAACTCTCCCTGCTGCCCCATCCTCCAAATCCTCGTGTCTTCTCTGGGATTGTGCATAAACACAAGCATGCACACACATGTACATGTGTTCATGGACAAGTCCCTTTCAGTGAGAACATAAAGAAAATGCTGGGGTTTGTGCAGATGGTGCACAATGAGGATAGGGATAATGTTTAAACAGTGTATTACTGATAAATGTTTGCAGTGGGCTGCCTCTGAGCCAGGCCTAGAGTGGTGCAGTATGTTCTGCTACACCGGTTCCTTGTGTTTAGAGAAAGGACTGGGGTGTGCTGCCCTCACAGCAGCTCAGGTTGACTTGGTTTGCATGAACCTGTCTTGTATCATGTCCCTTTCTACTCCGGTCCATCAGTGGGCACTAACTCAGATCAGGTGGCTACAAGGTCTGTCTGCAAACACTGAGCATCTTTTGCAGCAGGGTTTTAGAATTTTTTCTAAAGCACATAAGAAGTGTGCTCAGGGCTTTGATCTAAAAGGACTAAATCAAGGCTTTGCTTGGAGGCTCATATCACATTGACTATGGCTTAGATTTATTTGTGTACAAAAGCTGCTCACTAGAAGTCACCTGTAAGGCTTTGGAAATATCCTTCCATGTGACTTGTGTATTCTGCTATATCTTTGTATTTTCCCAGAGTTAATTACAACTACTGGTAGAAAAGCTATCATGTTAGGCAACACCAGGCACTCCTGGCACTGCGTTTTCCCAGACTTTGAGGGCACTGCATGGCTGCTCCTCCTTTGCAGATAGTGCCATAGGAGGCAGTGATTTTTCCTTGCTATCAAGGGCATTGAGCTCTGTGAGAGAACAGGAGCTTGTCAGTCCGAGGTTTATGAGATGCAGAGTGTTTTACATGCTTCTGGTGCCTATTCACAGATTCAGTGTTGCCATGCTCTAGATAAAGAGTAGCTAAAACTGTCTGCTGTAGTGTTTGCTTTAGATTCTTCTTAGTTTCTTATTTTTGCTAGTTTATAAAGAGGTATGCATGATTTTTGAGATAGGAAGCATTGTAGATATCATAGTGTGAATTCCAGATTTTGAGGTATATATTTCCCTAATCACTTCGTTAATTAATGTTTTTTCTTGGGTATGAGATATTTGGAGATATCTGAGAACCTCTGAGATACCTGAAACAGTGTATTTTACCTGTTTTTCTGGGGGGGGAGAAAAAAAACTGATAAAAGGGAAAATTTGGAAGCAGCTAGTCAGGTAATAATTCTCTTCCTGTAGTTGTGTGTCACTGCAGAAGTGGTTCTTCTGGCCAAGGCTTAAAACCAGTCAAATCAACCCAATGCCCAGGTTTAAACATCTGGAAAAAATATTATCATTCTTGAGAGAGAGACAAAAATGCTGATCATTAACTCTGGTTAGAAACACTTTACTCACACATGTACAGGTCCAGTGTGCATAGATGATACTTCAGTGGATACAGATGAGCGTAAATTTTGGATCTCTGTTAGGAGTTTGCATCTTTGGGTCTGTTCCTGCTCATTAGCTGGGTGTCTTGATTTGAAAGATAGGTGTCTGCCAAGGAAGGCAGGAACCTTCCTTGGAATGGGAAAATGTGACCCCGTTCCCCCCAACTTATTATAACTTTGAAATTATGGGGTGTTCAGGCAAAGATAAGGGGAAAGGAACAGTAGTTCTTCACTAGTATTTACCTGTGTGACAAGACAAACCACCAACCCTGGCAGTAACACTGAACAGAACCAGAAGCAGTCCCGGTGCTCCCGGCAGCCGGCGCTCCCCCTTGGTGCAGTTCCGGGCACGGCCACCAGGGGCGCCGCTGGCTCCCGGCCGGGCAGGGCGGGTGCGCTGGTCCCCCGGGCCGCCAGGGGGCGCTGTGCCACAGCGCCGCTCCCTCACACGGCAATGGCGGGGGGGATGGTGAAAACGGGCTGCAGCAGGAACCTCGGAGCCGTGCAGGGGTGAGCAGACCCCGGAGAAGCAAATGATGCATATCAGAAACTGCAGCTGTAGCAGTGTGTCGCAGCAGGCAGGCAATTCAGGGGTTATGGTGTGGTAAATAACCCAGAGCAGTGGCAGGGCTGGGCAGCGGCAGCCCGGCTCCTAAACATGGCTGCAAGAGGCTCCCTTGGAGGGGCTCAGGGTCCCAGATTTTCCTCTGAGGCACACAAGGGGATGGTGAAGGTCCTTTCTAGTGAGGTAGGGTGTTAATAAGGTCCCAGTGCAACAGCTGATAGCACAAGCAGAGCTTCACTCACAGTAGGAGAAGGCAGCAGAAAACAGAACCTCACAATGGTGGCAAGTTCTCCCCACAGCAACTGTAGCCTGTCTGCCCTCCAGTGTCAAGAACCAGAGCAGGAGAGGACCTGAGCCCAGCCCCTCACCCCTGCCCTGGCCGAAATCTGACATATCCAAGGAGAAAAGCCCCCAGGTAAGAGAGTAGCCAGCTGCACCCTTCCCTCACCCTGACCATTTCCTCTGTCTCTCCTAAGTATTGGGTGTTATTGTTTCCTAGCAACAGATGGGACAAAATTCCATGAGAGAAGCAAGAGGAAAAATTCCAGCCCCCAACACTGGGGCTGGAAGTACATTCAGAAACCAGTTTCTGCCCAGATCTCTCTTGTAGGTTAGTTTTTTTCCTCCCCCCAGCATACTTTAATATAATGTGTCTCATCATTCTCCTGCCTGAACTGCATAACTTGGGTTTATTTTAGGCTGCACACCTGAAGTCCCTGGCACAGGTAGCTCTGAGTCTCAAGGGAAACGGACACGGTTGAAAGAGCTGAGGCCCAGAGCAGGGCACTCCTCGTGAAGCCCTTCAAACACAGGTTGGATGAAACAATGACCTTTGGAAAAGGTTGGGTACATTTGATGGAATGGAGTTACACCATTTCTCATCTATTTATATTACAATTTTGCATTTATTTCTTTTACTTTATGATTGTTATTTATCTTAGCATAAGAATGCTTCTTGTAGTGCGATGCGTTTTGATACCTTTAGAATGTAGGGAGGAGCAGCTGCAACACCAAAAGTGATCTGAATTTTCCATTTTCTGAGGATTTGGTTGTGTAGCCCAAGTTGACTGATGCTTCTGGAAATTAGATGACTGGTGTAAGTGGCTAAGCTTGAATTCCTGACTAACTCTTGCTGAAGGCGTTGTCTAGTGAGAGTTTCTCTTGTCACAGCTGGGAGGAGAAGCCTCAACTCTTCCAGTGTGCGCTTCAACCACTAAGAGCTTTCCATTCCCATTGATTAGTTCCAAACTTGAGTTCAAATCTAGTCATAAGTTAATATAAGAGATAACAGAAATAAGTACTTCTCAGATGTTCAAAATGTTGGGGTTTTTTTTCAGGTTGTGGTTTCTTTGTACCAGCTTCAGCTGGCTTGTAAGGGGACTGTAGTAAAATAAACTGAGTTGAATTAATATTTTTTAATCACTGAAATTAAGCTGAGGGCCAGCTGGAAGACTTCAGTTCTACTGGAATAACATCTCTGATTAGCTTGGGGCTAAATTACTAATTCCAGTGAGGGATTTTTAAGTTTTCATTGGGCTTAATGTGCAAACCTCTTAAATATTCTGTCATATTTAGTAATCTGAAATACCAGGACCCTCTGAATCTGTGTCTGAAAGGGTAAACCCCACAAAAATATTGCTAAAGTTTTTTCCTTAATATTCTAAACTAAACAGATGCTGCCCTTAGTGAAATTTTCAAAATCTTTAAGAGCAATAATATATTATTTGAATATTTTTAATAGGTTAAGATTTCAATGCAATTCAGCATACACAAACTTAGAGCACTGACACCAATTTACTCTTAAACAAAAGCATTAGAGTATTGTACTCTAATGATGGCAGCTTGGTGAGATGCTGTTCCATGTTTGCTGTTTAGATATGTATCTACTGAAATGAATATAAATTGAGTTCTAGCTGTTGATTAGTACTCTATACAGCTGTTAGCTTGAACTCTAAGATCTGGGGCTTTACAATTCAGGAGGGGGAAAAATGGACAATTTCAGCAACGAGAAGAGGTGTCGGTGAGCTAAATTAAATGGCTGATAATTGTGATAGCTTGCAAAGAATGATGCTATGTTATTTACAAAAGCTCCTTTTTGCATGGAATCTGATGTCTTCTCCCATGAGCTTGCTTATAATTCATATTCCACTTTAATATGCCTGCAAAATGTGCTTTCTTTCTGTATACGTATTATTTTTAGGATGTTATGTTTCCTTGGTGCATACACAATGAGTCTGAAATCCTGTAGGAATGTGTTTAATTTGAAAGTTTTATCCTCTGGGCCTGGTTAATTCAAATAGGAGGCTCAGAACAGTGCTGCAGTGCCGGCAAGAATGCGGGAATAGCAAATCATCTGCACAAAGGCAGCAGAGAGCCCAGGTGGCTGTGGTGCCTGCGCTGGAAGGTGCCACTGTCCTCAAGATCTGCTCTCTGAAGCTGCAGTGCTTGCTCCTTTCCTCTGTCAGTGCTGGGAAATGAGGGTTTGGCCAGCTTTCCTTTCCTTTATAACCCTTAGTGTTGTTCCTCGGCATTTCATAATTGCAGCCTCCCCAGATCCACTCTCATCCCGTGGCATGGTGCGTAGCAGGGAGCTGCCTGCCTCCTTTGCTGCTGAAGCAATGCCTAGACAGGATTTGGAGAGGGATTGCTAGTATCTTTTAAAGCTGGAAAAAAATGGAACTGTGGCCAGTTCAGGCCTCCACCCTGTATTTTTTTGGTAGGTGGAAGGAATACACTTGCTGAGTCCGTCCTCCTCCGAGATCAGTAAGCTGTGTTTGTTGTGTAGGAATGTGAGAGCCCAGGAATTCCAGTGTGCAGCCTGCTGGAAAGCGCTGCTGGCTCATGGGCAGCAGAGGGGAACGGGCCTTGCAACGATGGCTGGGGATAGAAATGAAAGGCATTTTTTATAATACCCTGGGCAGCATACACAGGATGTTATGTCTGGCTTGGACTGGGCTGACGTGGTGCATTGGATTTTTGTCTTATAATGCTGGAAACATAGCTATAAAGGAAATACAGAGATAGAAATGGAACAAAATTAAAATGAAAAGCAAGCTTTCTATTTCACAGTGAATAATTTTTAGCATCTTTCCTCAAAGAAATTGGGCTGCCACTAGAGATACGAAGCAAGCAGAATAAAATTTTTTGCAGATTTTTAATCCACTTGAATATCCAAATTATGGCAGCCCCATTCTGTGACTTGTGAAAAGGCACAGTTGTGGGCAGCTGTGGAGTGGGGTTAGGAGATGCCTCCAAGCAGCTCAGCTAAAGGAGGATTCCAATTGTACATTAGAAAAGAGGAGACAGTAGAGTGGAGAAAATGGATGAGAATTTCTGGCTTGTAGTTGGCCAAGGTTTGTACATGCTGATACAAGAAGGGAAGGTATTAGCTCCTTCCTTAAAAGGGGATATGCATTTACTGAAATCATATGTCCTTTTCTCCAAGTACCTCTGGAGGGTGGAGTGGGTATTATGACTTTTCCATTGCTGCTCATGAGCAACTGAAGTTGAAACTTGTTTCCTTTCAGCAAAGGGGTTGCAATCAGATTTTTCTGTGGTTTCTGATGGTAGACTTGTCTTCAATTTGAGACATCACTCACCTGAACGTTTCTTGAAATATGTCTGTCTTCACTGGCTTTCATTCTGATGTGATGCAAGATGGGTTTCCTTTCTGTTGGAAATCCACAGGCTCTGTGCTGTCCTTGCCCTCTGTGGAATTCACCAGTCACAACCCAAAAAGTGCCCTCTGTTTTTGGGAACAGAAGTGTTGGAAAGCCAAGAAGTGTGCAGATGTGGGGGAAATCCCAATCAATGCTATACACCTGATCAGTGGCTGTCAATTGCTTCATTTATTTCAGTATATTAATAATCTAAGTCCCTGAGGTTGATTATTGTCTCTGGAGTTTGCTGTGGGCAAATGCTTTTCTATTCTGAAGAATTCAGTAATGAAAGCCCCACTGTCAGGGCCAGTGCTGAGCAGCCCCTGGCTTAGAAAAAATAAGCTGTGGTTTTCTGTTTATTTTTTTCCTTTTTTAGGCTGAGACTCACATTGCCCGGGAATTTTTGTGTCCCTACTGCTGATTTTCATATGCAGTCTTGATAAGAAGTGAAGGCTTTCTTTAATCATTTAAATACTAGGAGATAGAAGAAAATGAAAAAGCCATGCCATTATACCTGCATCTTGCTTGAAAAGAAAATGTTTTGTCTGAAGGAAAAACAGACAAATTGTTTACTGGAGTTCATTGCCTTCTTCAGCTTTCAGAAGTTGCAGGGAAAGAGTTACTCCCCTTGCCTCCCTGGGAGTGTACACTGGGATTACTAGCTCACATTTATTTTGCTGAGAATTTGGAGCCAAGTTTTTATATGTAGTTTTTGATGTAGGACCTAATTAGGCCCTACACATCTTAATACTTTTTGCTACATCTGCATTAAAGATGGCATTGCATATATTTGCATACAATTTACATTTAAAAGTTGGCCATGCTGTGTGCAATAATAATTTTAACAAAGTACCACTGACAGTCAATATACATATCCATGCAAAATATGTGGGGGTTATGGGAATAAGCATACAAAAACACATGGGTGCACACTGCTGTCAGTGTCAAGCAGTTTGGAGAAATCAGGGCTTCTTTTTTAACATCATAATTTTGTTGGAGTGCTTCCCACAAGAAACCAAAAGGAGCTTAAAGATTAGGGCTCCTGCTTTAACTACAAGCAATGTGTGCAAGACTGTGAAACTGCTCTGGTACTCCAAAAACTACCCCAAATCT